ATAACATGATAAGCTGTCCACTGTAATAACCGCTGTCCCCAAAAGGGTTCATGTCTCTTCGAGACAGTACAACAAACTACTCACAGTGAATCCCACCTGCAGGCACTGTCATGGTGTCCTCTCTAATCCTCTCTCTTTCTCTCTCTCTCTTTCTCTACAGCGGAAGCATGGAACGACGACCAGTGCACAGATCTGAATTACTTTGTTTGCAGCAAAGAGGCACACGAACACTAATCAACTCAACCATCCCCATCGCAGCAGTCTCGAAAAATGTCTTTTCTAACTTTTTAAGCATCTTCTGAGACAACAGCAGACTTCTTTTTATCCAACTTTGATCTTCTGGTTCAATTTCTCTTGATGGCAATCAAATTTGGAAGGTGGAAGGGTATCTGTAATAAATGAAGGAATCTGTCAATGCACCTGTTTGTTTGTTTGCATGCGTGAGTGTGTATTTACTCTTCTCTATGGCCAACCGTTGTCACTGTACCTTCTTGAGGAATGAGGAGCATCTAACATCTCATTTGTTCACATGAATTGACACACAAGTATAAAATGAAACCACTAACACTAATACCGTTAAAAATAAAAAAATAAAAATAAAAAAGATACAAAACACACACACCCACGAAGATTCTCTTCCATCATGGACCTCAAAAAAAATTCCCCGAGGCAGGTATATTGCATCATCTCACATGATCTCTCACAAACGAAGAACAGACACCCCCAAATATGTGCCTATGTTTCCCAAGTGTTTCTGAAAAAACCTGAAGATGGGAGAGTTGAGAAATGTTATCTTCTAGAAAAGGCTTGTTTTGGAAAATATTTCTTATTCATTTGGGGAATTTATGTGGTACAAAAAAAAAAAATGACATCAGGTAGGACATATGTTGTTTTAGTTACGGCCGCTTCCTTATTCATTAGTCGGGCCATTTCTTGAATTGTCGACACATTCATGACTTGGGCAGTCATCAACTTTCTCCACACACATAAAGATTTTTGGTTGGAAACATTGAATCTTTTAATGTTTCAGATTGTCGGCCCACATAATTCATGGCAATGCGACTTGAGAAAGGGATTGGCCCACTATTGTTTGTGCTTGGTGATATCGTACGTAAATTTAACATCGGTTTTCATTGATATGCTGATGATACCCAATTATATATTTGAAATAACATATCCATGAATCTTCTGTAATGTTGCTGAGATTAAACAATGGTTGTCGTTCAATTTTTTTGCTTCTCAACCCCAATAAAACGGAGATATTGATCAATGGCCTAGATGTTCGGGCCGGGTAGGACTTTTCTGCTGGAGTACAGTGAACATTTTTGAAACATTCCAAAAATGATTGTGCCATGTTGTGCATTCAGCAACACCTTTTTGGAGCATCTGAGGCACATCACAAGAAGGAGATGTGCCTCGATGACGAAATTCCTTTCAACTCTTCATTTCCGGTCCACTGGGACATTTCAGTGCACCGTTACAATTGGTGCTGGAGCATTTCGCCAGGTGTGCGGTCCCAAGTTTTAAATTCAATGTTACCCAGAATGGGCACATACTCATACAGTCCCCCACAGTTGGGATGAAACAGCGAGGCCAATCTTTTAAAGTGAACACGCCATTTAGCACCTGCTATTTGCGATCTTAGTAAACCCCAAGGGCCCTAACCAAATTCCTTCAAGGTGGGTCCAAATGTAGACTCGCTAAAAAGGTTTCCCCGTTACTGTGAACAAATCCTCCAATTTCCCCTCTGCGCAGGTTAAGAGTCTGTGTGTCATCCTCAACAGCACCTTATAATTTCATGATTTAGAAGTCACGGCCTGCAAATTTCCATCTTCGCAATATCAATCGCCTTCTCCCCTGCCTCGCTTCCCGTGCTATCTTTGTTAACGATCTTGTCGCCTGCCAGCTACTTTATTGCAGTTGAATTCTCTTTGGTCTCCTTTGACGATTCGCTCCACAAACTTTAACTGGTCCAGAACTACTCAACTCAGCTCTCAACTCAATTGTATTTATAGAGCACTTTAAAACAACCACCGTATGTACAAAGTGCTGAACATGGAGCAAATTTCATAGATACAACAATAAACAATAAAACAATTAACTAATAACAAAGACAGAAGAAAGCACAAAACAGTAATACTAAGATCAAGTCTTAGTCATGCTGAGTCAAAAGCCAAAGAATACAAATGAGTTTTGAGACGAGTTTTAAAGATGGGCAGCGAGGGGGCTTGCTGAATGTTCAGTGGGAGCTCATTCCAAAGAGAGGGAGCAACAATGGAAAATGCTCGATCCCCTCTGAGCCTCTGCTTGGTTCTTGGTACCTCTAATAATGTCTGGTCTGCAGACCTGAGGCACCGGGCAGGTGTGTAGGAGGAGCTCAGTGCAGTAAGGTGGAGCGAGGCCATTTAAATATTTGAAAACAAATAATAGGATCTTAAAAAGAACTCTAAAACGGAAAGGGAGCCTGTGAAGGAATGCCAGAGTACGAGTTATGTGCTCCCTCTTACGAGTACCAGTCAAGAGGCGAGCAGCAGCATTCTGGACCAACTGGAGACGCTTAATGGAGGACTGGCTGACTCCAAAGTAAAGTGCATTACAATAATCCAGCCAGGATGTGACAAAGGCTCACTACTACTACTACTACTACTACTGTTTCAAAATGCTCATGAGAACTCGTCTACCTGTAGGCCTCGAATGATTCAAACTCAAGCCACAGGGATTTAAAACTCGCAGTGTGTGCGAGTTTGAATCTTCTGCCTACTTGCTAAACCAATCTTCCTGCTCCAAATAGCCAGAATAAACCCTCCACCAACTTTAATCGCCTGTGTTGTGCTGCAATTGGGTTCATACCACTCTCATCGCATACCAAGTTACTGACACAAAAAGATGAAGACATACATGCAGCCCACCAACACTGTGATGGCATAAAAGCAGAGAACAGATTGGAGCAATACGTTGTACATGTGACCAAAGTACCAATTATTTTCCTGTAAAAGTGCGCCCACTTTCGCAACTAACATGGTTTCAGTTCCCACTCGGTGAGAGATGATATCAATGTGAATGCTTTTACGTGACCTTTCAAAATCTGATGGGCCAGTGACCAGTTCGGGACTTTTTGGCCACAGAAATTGTAGAGAAAATGGATGGATGGATAAAATGTTGAGGGTTTGATCCCTGTCGCCCCAATTCAAGGATCCTGGAGCAGTACAGTCCGACTGTAACATGACTCATCTAATGGGAGAATCCGTCAAATGTTCAGTTCAGTTCAGCACACCCGCACTCTGGGCCGCATTCTTCCAAGGGGGAAAAGGCCCACTGCTGAACAGATTTTCCCATTGATTTAAAGTGGATGCATCTTCAGATTCAGGCTCAGGGTGGAGCAACAATAAAAATTTGGCCTTGGAAGCATTCCAATACCGATTTCATCAATTCTCCTCTGATGTGCGTCGTAGACTTTAGTGAGTCTAGTGCAACATCACATGGCATATTGTAATTGGGATGTAGTTAGGATGTCATTTCTGTATGAGCGTAAGCAAACAGTGAACATTTCGGTTGGTTGCCAGAATTGTCCTTCAAACGCTGTTTGGACACAAACAAGGTCCAAATACAAAAATAATAATGATCTTGCCTCAATCTACTCACCATTGACACCCTCACTCTCCCAAACAATCTGAGATTAATAGATTCAGATTTTTACTCTCACAAGGTTTTGCTTTATTTTTTTTTGAAGTGTTTTATTAAGTTGGCTTTTTAACTTCCTCACATCAACCTTATTTGGCATACCTGATTATACGAGTCACAAATTAAACACAAAGTCATTAGAGTAGGCTGGCCTGGAACACCTAAAATAATGTAACAAAAAAATGTAAATTGTGGAGGCCAATTAGGCCCGCAACGAGCTGTTGTCACAACAGGGCGAGACTACGCCCCAACAGACACACATGCCATGGGAGTATCTTTAATCACTCGGTACATTTTGAGCAGTGGTTAAGCCAATTAGACAGGACGAGTGGCATACCAAGCAACCAAACAGCATTGACGTCATGGGAGATGGATTCATGTTGGGTGTGTCTTTAAAATGAAGGTCGTTACATTTCAAGGTGTGATGTTGGGTCTTAATGGGGTCCACCTGCGGTTGTCACTCCCTCTTGCTGTGAACATTGGAGAGTGATGACGGCAGACGTCACATACGAAGAAGCCTCGTCCAAGGAAATCTTGGGAACGGAGGTAAAACGACATCAGATGACATGGTCAAACTTTGTCTGAAACTTTGTCTATGCACACCCATCCACCTCTGATGGCAGCCAACGGGTTGCAGGAATCCCGTCAATGTTGAAACGCTTGTGGGCGTGAGATAGTATGTTGTAATGACATACTGTGCGCACTGCGGAGCTGCAGCCTCTTCTCCAAAGTGCTCATCAGCCGAGGTAGTCGGAGCCATGTCAGTCAATATTGCCGACTCATTCTCTGCTTCAGAGTCCTCGGTGTTTTGTTATGTTTTTGACTTGAGAAGAATCACAGTGCATGTCTCAGAGGACATCGGGGTGTGACTTCAGGGAGTGTAGCAGTCAAACTCAACTAATTAACCAAGAAGTCAAAAGAACATTTCCGTGTTCACAAAAGCGCCGCCCTGACTCTCCAACGCCTCATCTCATGTTGCATTCCTGACTTTATGGTTCAAAGCAACAACTCTCAAGCCACTATTCCTCTCCTCCTGCTTTTAGTTCACGACAAACAAGGGAGAAACCAAAACGGGGTGAATTCGATTTTGGGAGGTTTTGGAAAGATTTGGATTTGTTACATCGATAAGATGATGTTGCATGTATTCCACAGGATCAATGAGCATTTTATGTAACAAACATAATAATAATTGAATAAATAAAGTGGTCGACCCCATCTCACACATCCACATGACGGGAATCAGTGAAAATAAAGTCAATCCTAAATTGGACCTGGATGGCTTCCTTTTTGGGTCCCATTGTTTGCTTGGGGCGGACAAGAACTCGTCTGATGTGTCACGTGGTATGAGTGACACGTTCGGCATTCCGGGACTGCGTCACTCTGACATATAAAAAGCAACACTCTTGGTCGCCCTCCACACATCCTCTCAGCATCAAGCATCACGACTGCAAAGGTAACATGACACAATTTTACAGCCTCCCTTTTCACTCTCCCATGTCTGCCATGGCAGCCTTGCGACATTAGTATTCGACATACAAAGCCAAGCCAATGACTTTAAGTAAATTCAGTGTAAAACGTGAAGTTTCTTTTTTCTTTCATCTCTCACTGCACAGATGGCATTTGCTCTTCGCTCATTGCTTCTCCTGTGCGGGATCAGTGCACTGTTGACTGGAGTTGTAAGTGACAATATTTGTATATTTATATGCGTATCAGTTTATCGTCACTTTGGTGAGTGACCTCCATCATGAGGGGCTACATTCTAATAGTGAACGGCATGTATTTGTCTTTGCAGTGGTCTTTTCAGGTCGTTAAAGGTTGGTACCAGCGACTTTTTCAACTGGATTTGATACATTGGACACCTGTCTGCAGTTGCATAATTCATCTAAAATCACTTTTTCAGTTCCTTCCTGTCCAAAGGGATGGGTTCGGTTGGAGAACCGCTGTTTCTTTGTTGTGCACCAGTACAGACACTTTGAAGATGCAGAAGTAAGAATAAATAGAAATACATAAATGGTCTCAACACATTTATGTGACATTAAAGTCCTGACTAACTGTGGATATCTATTTCAGCTAGCTTGTCAAGCTCTTGGAGGGAATCTGGCCTCCATCCTAAATGCAAGGGAACAAGTCGTAGTTCGTGCACTGATCGACCTGAAAGTTGGAGTTCATGAAGTCGCCTGGATTGGATACAATGACTTAGCTAATGTAAAGTTTGAACTCATACAAGCACAGAAATCAAAGCAGTGGTTATCGTTATGTGTGAGTTATTCAAATGTGACTCTTTCTTGTAGGAGGGAACCTTTGTGTGGACCGATAATTCACCTCCCGGTTTTGATGCCTTTGACGGTCCAGACCCAGTCACTCCCGATCAGGATTGCGTCCAGACAAATGCCGGGACAAACAGTATGTTTTGATTTCTATCAGGGAGAAGAACGTGGATATGGATATCTAAATGTGTTGATCATGTCTTTTTCCAGGCGAGTTCTGGGAGGATGAGCCCTGCTCTACAACAGTTCCATTTGTTTGTGTCACCAATGTGCACTGAGACTTAACTGCCAACATCATGTATTCTTCAACATCTTGTCTGTGGTCTAGATGTCTTTTCTGCGACATCACATGATGCCAGCGGTGGCTTTCTCTTTCTGGATATATTGCAAAGTTTCTTCTCCTTTTCCACTTTTCATGTATGGTTGATTGCCATCAGCCAAGCCAAATCTTGGAGTGTCAATGCTTCTCTCTCTAATAAATGAAGGAATCTGTCTCTGCATTGATGCACGTGTCTTTTTGTTGTCTTGCGCATGTGCATGCATGCTGTTTGCTGTTTCTGGCTCACAGAGTGTCAGAGCAAGTCCTCAACTCAACTCAACTCAACTCAACTCAACTCAACTGTATTTATAGAGCACTTTCAAACAGCCATCGCTGCATACAAAGTGCTGTACATGGAGCAAATTAACATATACAACAAACAGTAAAGCAAATCGGTAATAAAAACAGTAGAAAGCACTGAACAGCAAAACCAAGCATCGATAGAAAAGCAGGCATTGAGAGATTCAACATCACTGAGACAGTTAAGAATGGCAGGGCAAGCGCTACCCTACATCTTCATATACTGTGGGTCAGGGGTGCCCATGGCCGGTCCTCAAGAGCTCCTATCCAGCCTGATGTAATGTCTCCCTCTTCCAACACAGCTGATTCTAATGGTCAGCTCATCAGCAAGCCTGATAACGATCCTGATCATTTGAACTCCGGTTTCCTCCCACGTTACCAAAAACATGCACGGTGGGTTAACTGGACTCTCGAAATTGTCCACAGGGTGTGACTGTGAGTGTGAATGGTTGCTCGTCTATGTGTGCCCTGCGATGGGCCGGCGACCAGTTCAAGGTGTACCCTGCCTACCCACCAATGACAGCTGGGATAGGCTCCAGCGTGCCCACGACCCTCGTGAGGATAAACCGGGGGTCGTCAACCCGCGGCTCCAGAGCCGCGTGAGACTCTTTAGCGCCGCTCTAGTGGCTCGCCGAAGCTTTTTCAAAAATGTTTGAAAATGGAGAAAGATGGGGGAGGGAAATATATTATTTGTTTTAATATGGTTTATGTAGGAGGAAAATCATGACACAAACATTCTTAACGTTTTCTAATGCTGCAAAAATGTGTAGAATACAATTTAAATTTCAAGATTTCTGTCAACGAAGATTTGCGTCATAACCTGCGACACAAGCGTCTATTAGCAGGGCGGGATGTCAGGCAGGTGGCTGTTGCCAAAAAACAAAACAAAACAAAAAAAAAAAACAACAACAACAACAACAAAAAAAACGGCCTTTCATGTACAATTCACCGAGGGTACTGGCAAAGAATGGAAATCTAGAGGGCAGATCGAAGCATTTTAAAATGGTACACGTGACCTACGTAGGTAACACCATGGGCGTCATTAGGCCTATTTTAGGGAGGCTTCAGCCTCCCTAAAAATGTCTTTAGCCCCCCTAAATAATTTCATTGCATTATTTAAAAAAAAGTATTATTTATTTTTCCTGTACTTTTGCTAATATATTGCATCAAATTCAATGTAATGTGGCCATTTTAAATTATATTTCGATACCCTGCCATTATTGTGATGTTAAATCTCCC